GTATGAGTGAATAATCTCAGAAAAAACTAAGCACGCTAAATAAAAAAAAATTCACAATCTTTTGGAACACCAAAATATAAAGAGAAGACCCTAAGTGCTTCAGGAGGAGAGAAGAGGATACTTACAACAGAACTAGAATCAGAATGGCAACACGGATAGAAGAAAATGGAGCAATAACTTCAAACTTGATTCTATTTCAGCCAAACTACCTATCAGTTATGAGGATAACTTCAAGATATTTCCAGAAGGGTTAACAAGAACTCAAAAGTTTAATCCCATGCATTTCTATATATGCCAGTCAAATGAGAAAACAACATAAAAGAGGTAATTTGACAACAGCCTCACCAAACACCTAGCAATAAATCTAACAAAAGGGGTGTGACATGTAAGACATCTAGCAAGAAAATAATAAAACACTGTTGAGAGAAATTAAAGAGGACTTCAAGACTGGAAAACTCAATGTTCTGAAGATGTCAATTCTCCCCCAAATGATCTAGATTCAATGCATTCCCAATGAAATTCCCACCAGGATTTACTGTGGAACTTGACAAACTGCTCCTAAAATGTATATGGAAATGCAGAGCTAAGAATAGCCAAGACACAAAAAAGATATCCAAACTCATTATAAAGCTGTAGTAATTAACAGTGTGAGGTCCTGAGGGATAAGATAGACAAATAAACCAGTGAAAGAGAATAGTCCACAAACAGACCCATCTGAACATGAATACTTGATTTTTTACAACAGTGACATCTGGGGACAAAGACAGGCCTTTCTCCCCACTGAATAATGCCAGAACAATTTGGTATAATAACAAAACAAAAAAGTAAAACATAATTTGTTGTTCCCCACACCTCATAGTGTACACAAAAATCAATCCTGGGTGTTTACAAATTTGAGTGTGAAAGACAAAACAAAAAAGACACTGTAGGAAAATACTTTTATCTCAGGATATTTAAATAAAGCAATAACTATAAAGGAAAAGATCAAGCAATTTAAACACATTAAAATGATAAGCTTTTCATCAAAAAAGCCACATAGTGGAAAGAAAGCCACAAAATGAGCAGATATTTGAATACATGATCAATCCACAATGAAGGGAAAAACACCTTTATATCAAGAATAAAGAACTATAAATGGAGATCAAAACAACCAGAGACAAACCAATTAAAAAAAAAAAAAAAAGACAAAAAGGCCCAGCCAGTGTGTCTCAGTGGACTGAGGCATCATCTCATGAACTGGGAGGTCCGGGTTCGATTCCCAGTCAGGGCTTATGCCAGGGTTGTGGGCTCAATCCCCAGTGGGGGGCGTACAGCAGGCAGCCAATTGATGTGCCTCTCTCACATCAATGTTTCTATTTTTCTCTTCCTTACTCCCTCTATAAAAAATCAATAGAAACATATTTTTAAAAATGGACAAAAAGACTCAAATAGGCACAAAGAAAAGGGAAATCCAAACGCACAAACATATGGAAAGGTGCTTCATCTCAACAGTAATCAAGAAAATACAAACTGAATTGCAATAAGATACCTCACCAGATGGCAAAAAATTAGATGGGTAATAAATCAAGTGTGGAACAGTAGAAATACAACCTCTCATATACTGCCTCTGGAAATCAAAATCAGAATTACTTTGGAATACAGGTTGCCATTATGGTAAAGGTAAAAATGCTTAAAGACCCAGCAGTTCCACTTCTAGGTAAATGCAAAGTTGAGTCATCCCCACTTACCTGTTTCTGTTTCAAGACCCCCAGTGGATGCCTGAAACTTCGGTTGGTATCAAACCCTATACACATTATGTTTTTTCCTATGTATACCTACTTATGATAAAGTTTAATTTATAAATTAGGCACAGTAAGAGATGAAAAACAATAATTAATAGAACAACTGTAACAACATACTTGCTATAATAACAACTATGTGGCCCTGGCCGGTTTTGTTCAGCAGTTAGAGCATTGGCCCGAGAACCAGAGTCTCAGGTTCAATTCCGGTCAAGGGCATGTACCCTAATTGTGGTCCGGTCCCTGGCCCTGGTCTGGGTCATGCAGGAGGCAACCAATTGCTGTGTCTCTCTCACATCGATGTTTCTCTCTCTCTCTCTCTCTGTTTCTCTCTCTCTCTCTCTGTTTCTCTCTCTCTCTCTCTCTCTCCTTCTCTCTCCTTCCCTCCCTTCCACTCTCTGAAGATAAATGGGAAAAGTGAGGATTAAAAAGAAATTGTGTGAATGTGGTCTTTCTCTCTCAAAATATCTTACTATACTGTACTCACACCTTTTCATTGAAAGGAAGCACCTTGTGCTTCTCTTTGGGACATCCAAATTGCCAGCATCACTACTCCTGCACTTTGGGGCCATTATGAAGTAAAATAAGGGTCACTTGAACACAAGCACTGCGATATCACGACAATCAATCTGATAACCAAAACAACTACCAAGCAATCAATGGGTGGGAAGTATCTACAGTGTGGGTAGGCTGGACAAACAGATGCTTCATGTCCTGGGCAGAATGGAAAGGATGGCCTGGGGTTTGCACTCAGAACATCATGCAATTACAACTTACAAATTGTTTCTTTTTAGAATTTTCCATTTAATATTTTCAGACCATGGCTGACCATGGGTAACTAAAACCAAGGAAAGCAAAACTGTGGTTGGGGGGGGGGGGGCACTATACATGTGCAGCAGGACACAAGTGAGAATATAGCAGCATTGCCCATAACATCCAACAATGGGAACCAGACTAAAAGTCTACCAACATTAGAATCTGGTATGTTCAAATAATGGAGCACTACACAGCTAAGAAAATGAACAAACAAGTATACACAATATCTATGAATCTTACAATGTTGAGAAAAAGAAAATCCACAGCACCATTCTCTCTATATAAAGTACAAAAACGGGCAAAAAAACCCCCACCAAAACAAGTATATTCTTATGGATGACAGCATTAATAAAACTGGGAAGAAGAGTAAGGAAGTGATCTGTACTTAATCTCTAGGATGAAACAGGGGCATGGCTGAGAAGGGAGGCACCAGAGGCTTTGATGGTAATGATTTTTCTTGACTTCCAATGTGCTGACCAGGATGCTCTCTTTTAATTAGATGCAATACATTCCCATTCTACACACTTGTGAGTCAAGAGCCAGGACTAGAGCAAGCCTCCATAGGAATCATCTAGGTGTCCATCTTCTCATAGTACTGTTTCTTGGAAACTACTTAAGATAATAGAATGTGTACCTGCCTATCTCCTGTAATGGGGTCATACATGGATAAGGAGACTTTAAATGGGCATGAAGGATTGGGGTCCAAATGACTAAAATAGTAAAAAAAATTTGTGGGAAATTCAAGGTGCAGTTTCTCCCTGTCAATCTTGGCTCTCATCCATAGCAGCCATCCATACCCCAAGGGGCAAAAGAAGTCATATACCTGGCTAGCTGAGAGGCTTCCTGAGGAGCTGAAGATGCTATACCTGTTGAATTTTCTGTCTTATATCCTTTTACAAAGCTAAGTATAAGAGTATCAGAGTGAAGCCTATTTGTGTCTGTGAGTCTCACTGCCAATTAAAACCCATTCTTTTGTAATGTGTTAAAATTCATAATTTTAAAAAAAGTTCAAAAGAGAAAAAAGGGCAGAAGAGGAGCAGATATTGGCTTTGTTATGGGTTGTGTCCCCCCAAATTCTTGTGTTGAAGTCCTGACTCCCCGTACCTTAGAATGTGACTTTGTTTGGAAACAGGGCCATTGTGTATGTATAATTAAAATGAGATATTAGGGTGGGATCTAATCCTGTATGACCGGTGTCCTTATGAAAGGAGAAATGTAGACACAGATATGCACACAGGAAGAACACTATTCATACATATAAGTAAAGATCAAGGTGATGCTTCTGGAAGCCAAGTCAAGAAACTCCAGAGATGCCAGAAAACCACCAGAAGGTATGGGAAAGGCCTGGAACAGATTACCTTTCACAGCCCGCAGAAGGAACCAACCCTCCCAACACCTTGATCTCAGACTTCTAGCCTCCAGAACCATGAGACAATTAATTTCTACTTTTTAAGTTACCCAGTTTGTGGTACTTTGTGTGTTTTTGTTTTTTGTTGTTAATCCTCACCTGAGGATATTTTTCCACTGATTTTTAGAGAGAGTGGAAGGGAGGGAGGAGGAGGGGGAGAGAGAGAGAGAGAGAGAAAGGAGGAGAGGGGGAGGGAGAGAGAGAGAAACATCCATGTGAGAGAGACACATCGATTGGCTGCCTCCCGCATGACCCCAACTAGGGCACGGGATCAAACTTGCAACCCAGGTACGTGCCTTTGACTAGGAATCAAACCTACAACCCTTTGGTCTGAGGGCCGATGCTCTAACTGCTGAGCCAAACTGGCCAGAGCTATAGTACTTTTGTCTTTTTTAATCCTCACCTGAGAATGTTTTTCATTGATTCTAGAGAGACAGAGGGAGAGAGAAATACTGATGTGAGATCAGTGTGAGAAAGAAACACTGATGTGAGATCAGTGTGAGAAAAAACACTGATCAGTTGCCTCACCCACGCACCCTAATCAGGTAATGAACCGCAATCTGGGTATGTCCCCTGACCAGTAATTGAACCCTTGAACCTTTGGTGCACACGATAACGCTCTAACCACTGAGCAACACCAGCCAGGGTTTGTGGTATTTTGTTATGTAAGTCCTAGAAAACTAATACAAGCTTTAAATCACTAAGGTTAAATAAGCAAATCAATATCCTTAAAATTGTGATTTAATTTGAAAAGAAGTTTTTGAAACACTTTACAACCCATTTCAGAAATAGAAAAAACGAAAATAAAGCAGTGCAATAGTTCATGTTAAATGACAAAGTCCTTCAATGACAAATTTTTTTAAAAACCCAGTACCTTAGAATGTAACCAGGTTTGATGTAAGTAACTGGGTCTTAAATGCTAACTAAACTGAGACAAACAAGATCCCTAAAAAACTCATATCCATTACTGTTTTTTCAATATGCCAACTTAATCTTACTTTTTTGGGAATATGCTCATACTCCAGGTTTACTTCCCATTTTATTTTCTCTTCTTGTGTTTCTTCAACTTCTGTATCATCTATTTCATCATCGATTCTGTAGCAAAAATATGAAATACACAAGATGTTTCCAACCTGAAAAAGGTTCACACCACAGCATTAAAATTCACGGCTTTGGCTTATCTTCAACTTGCTCTCAAAGAAGTTCCAAATTTAAATTCTACTCCAAATACTCCAGAGAAATAATGTACAAAATTATGATGAGCAGTAAATGGCAACATGTTTACGAGTAAAAAGTAAAGGGGAATTTTATTTTTATTTTAAAGATCTTTTTTTTTATTGATTTTTTTTTTTTTTTTTGAGAGAAAGGGAGAGACAAACATTGATGTGCACAAAACATTGATCAGCTGCCTCCTCCTGCACTCCCCCTACAAGGGGTCGAGCCCCCAAACCAGCTATGCACCCTGACCGGGAATCAAACAGGCAACATTTTGGTTTTTTTTGTTTTGTTTTGTTTTTTAATCCTCACCTGAGGACATTTTTTCCATTTTTTGTACAGATAGAGCGGGAGGGAGAGAGAGGAAGGGAGAGAGAGAGAGAAACATCGACGTGAAGGGACACATCGAGTGGCTGCCACCCGCACGACCAACCAGGGCCGGGGACAAACTGCAACCGAGGTACGTGCCCTTAGCGGGAACCGAACCAGGGTCTCTCCGGACCGCAGGCCGACGCTCTAACCGCTGAGCCAAACTGGCCAGGGTACAGGCAACATTTTGATGCATGGGAGAACACTCAACCAACTAAGCCATATCAGCCACGGCTAAAGCTGGAATGTTAGATTAAATAACCTTAATGTTCAAGTATTAGTAGCTTTTTAATTTATCCATTCATTCATCATTCCATTCATTCAACAAATATTGACCATCGACCACATGCCAGGCCCAGGGCCTTAACTCCTAGGATACAACAATGAACAAAACAGAACTTGTCTCTGCCTTCTGAGAACCTTCTATCTGCTTGGGAGAAAGAGGGAAAGCAATTTCAATATGGTATGGTAAGTACAGGTATACATATGAAGAATACAACCTAGATTTGGGGGCCAGAGGCTTTCTGAACCTAAAAGACATGCAAGAGTTAGCAAACAAAGAGGTATGCAAGGGAGAAGAGTATTTTAGGTAGAATGCAGGGTGCCTTCCCAGGTCAGGAGAGCCCAAACTTTTATTCAAGTGGAAGATGAAAAGAGAAGTTGTTTTCACACTGACAAGGACTGAGAAGTTGAATATGCATTCACATCACCTGAGACAATTACTTGAGGATATTCTAGCAAAATTAAAAGTGAACCCAAGAAAGACAAAGACAGGAAATACAAAAAACTGGTGAACAAAGACACCAATAAAATTTATAGGTAAATCTAAATAATGGTTGATGCTATAGATATGGGGACACTGAACACAATTTTGCCTCAGAAAGTAGTGACTACTGAATGAAGCTTAAGATATGTGTTACATGCTAGATAAAGGCAAGGACTAGGCAATGTGCACATACGCAAAACAACATGTTATAAGAATGTGAAGAGTAGCTTTGTGCTTCTAAGTTACAGGAGGACCTCAGGCTTACAGCTCCATCCAATCCAACAGCTGACTACTGATCTGTCTCCAGTCAGAGCTCCAGAGTTACACCCATCATGTAGGCTACCAAGTTTTTTGAACCTTCTATAGAAGCTACCATTGCAAGAGCCAATAAACCAAATCCTGTAGTCCTTCATTGCTCTCATTTTCAGTAATGAATCATAGGGAGCAGAAAGTAATCTATCCTTGGGCAGAATACTGATGACAAAAGCAGATACAGCAGCAGCTAACACTTACATCATGATTACTCTGTGCCAAGCACTGTCCCATACACATTACACATACCACAACAACCTTATAACATACATACTGCTGTTTAAAAGTCTGTTTTACAGATGAGAAAAATGAATTACAGAAAGCTTATGTAACTTGTTAGAGTCTAGTAAATGGTGAAGCTGAGACTGGAACCCCGGCAGGCAGAGCCGACTCCCTGTTCACTATATCCACCTGGAATCTACTAGACATAATCTTAATATATCCCAAACCGGACTTCAATATATCAAAAACTGAACTCTTGCTATCTTAAACTGCAACTCCAACCTTCTAATGATACTGATCAAAAACCTTAAAGTTGACCTTGACTCCTCTCATATCCCCCATCCAATCTGTGAAGACATCTAGTTTATCTTCAAAATACATCTATATTTGACCACTTCTTGCCACTAATACTATGATGCAAACCACTCCTGCTCCCCTACCTTCTACTCTCAACACAAGCAGAATGACCCAGCTAAACTGTCAGTCTCTGCTGAAAACCCTCCAATGGCCTTTCACCTCATTCAAGATAGAGCCAAAGTCCTTATTATGTCATCTACAAGTTCCTACATGATCCACCCCCCTCCACCCTACCCAAAATCACTCAAGTCCTACTACTCTTACTCCACTCCAATCATCATTCTAGCCACTTTGCTTCCACCACCCAATCACACCAAGCTCACTACACCTCAGGACCTTTATCTGGAACACTCTCCTGCTAGATATCAACCTCCCTCATCTCATTCAGGTCCGTATTCAAATACTACGTATCACTGTTAACATATAAGGATTCCCTTAACTACCTTCTTTAAAATATCTACATCCTTCCCACCATCCCATCCTCCCTTCTTATCCAACTACTCTTCTTTTATTTCCCTATGGGATTGATCATCATCTAAAATATTATACAGTAAGTCCTCACTTAACATCATCCATAGGCTCTTGGAAATGTGGTGAAGCATATAATGAAACCAATTTCACCAAAGGCTAACAGATATACACAGGAGTTAGGTTCCTCCAGAATCTCATCAACCTTAGAATGAAACAACGTTGAATGAAATTACATTACTTGAGGACCTGCTATATATTTACTTTTGTCTGTGCCCCAAGAATATAAATCTCATGAGTATGAAACCTTTTTAATCTCTTCCGTTTATTTATTGCTATATCCCCAAGGCCTAGAATAATGTCTTATACATAAGTGCTTAATAAATAATTCCATAATAAAGTTACTAGTAAAAAAAAAAACAACCTCCATAAACCATAAAAGATGAATTCATTTGACTACTTGTAAAACAAACAAAAACCTTTCTGCATCTAGAATAATGCCATAGGCAAAATCAAAAGACAAATAACAAGTTGGGGGTAAAATATCTGAAGACAAGAGATTCTAAACTTTTAAAGAGAAAGATGGGCAAAGGATATAAAATAAGAATGGTAATCCTTCACCTGACATTTTGGCAAAAATCCAGAAGTGTCATAAAAGGACTTCATAAAAATAATTCAGTAAAATTTTCAAACTGATGGCTGCTATTGGCTTTTTATACATTGGTACTGTCTTTTTTGTGATTATTCACCTTGCTGATTTCTATTATATATTTTAATTATTCATTAATTGATTCCACTTCCTTTTCTTTGTAGATGACCTTATCATCTGTAAGTAATTAGTGTCTTTGTGCCTTAGAAGCATGGGGATGAAATCATGGGTCCTATAGTAAGACTAAGTAACATAATTCTAGTTTTGTCACTTATACTGTGTAATCTTGGCAAGTTATTTATCATCTCTGTGCCTCAACTTTCTCACCTACAAAAATGATGATATCTTCTCTTAAAGTCTGTGAAGACTAAATGACATTTTGCATAAAGCACCATAGTAAAGCTCTTGATGGAAGCCTGAATTAAAGCGATAGTTCCGATTAAAGTATGAGAGGCAGAGAGAAAAGATCTCAGCGTTATCGAAGTAAAGTTTATCATAACAAGATGTATCGCAGATGAGAGAAATAAAGTAATAAAAGCTGTGTGTTATGGTTTTGGCCTAGGGAAATTGGGGCAAAGACACACTTATAGAAGAAAAGTTGGATTTTTAGCATTTCAAAGTCACAGTAGAAATAGTGAATGAATATCTGGGTGTAAACAAACTACACCAGTCATGTCTCCAAGAATGAGATGAATAAATTAGTGCCATTTGGCCAGCGGCCTCAGTTCCCTTTCCAAATGGTCTTTGCTGCTTTGTGATGGTTTTTGGGGTCTTTCGATGCTGATCAGCGGAATAAGAGCAGACTATTCACTCCGTAGCCTTCACTGCTTGGTGAACTGCCGGTTTCGCATTTTCTACAAAAAAGTGCCCAGCACGTATCAGTGAGAAATGACAGATGACCTCTGTCTTCCAGCTCACACGTGCTCTTCACCCGCTGGGAGAACGGGGAGCATCCCGGCGCACTCTCGCCCCGCCCGGACCCCGCACCTCTGGCTTACACCCGCGGTCCCGTTTCGCACAATCGCTCCACGTCCGAGAGCCCCGCGTGCCCCACGCTCCCGGTGTCCCGGACGCGCCTCGGGCCTCTGAATGGCGCGGGGGGCGGCACCCACTGGGGCCCCGGCGCTCGAGCATGAAAATACGGGGCATCACCTGTTGTCGGAGTCCGTGGCCGGTTTCCTGCCCAGGGCTGGGTTGGGGGGTTTGGAGAAAAGGTTCTCAAAATCCATTCTCCTGCCAGAGTCCCGCAGCTACCGAGTGACAACCACCGCTACGGGAGCGAGGAGAGGAGTGGACGGAGAGGTGCCCTGAGCCACGCAGGCCGCCCGCGCATGCGCCGCCCGCCCCCGCTGTGCACGCGCTCCTCGCCCCAGTGCGCACGCGCTTTTTCTTTCCCTGTAGCTCCGCGGAAGCACCGCCCTGAGCTGCTTCTTGTTGAGCTTTGAGACCCGTTATCTCAGATATTTACTGTCGTTTTTAGACTTGGTCCGTAGGAGTCTCCATCGAATCGAAACCTCAGTGATTATACAAAGTGGTAGCAGCAGATAACATTGATTTGAGCGCTATCTTGACACCAGGCATGTTTCACATTCAACCCGCCTAATGCTCACAGGAGCCCAGGACATGTGCTACAGGTGCTATTACATATTTTCTAGATGAGGAAACAGGTGCGGACAGCTTATGTGACTTCTAGGGTGTTGCCATCCAATAGGATTAAACACAACTTTTAGGCACAAAGTGCATTAGAAATAACCAAGAAGGCCCTCGCCAGTTTGGCTCAGCGGTTGGAGCATCGGCCCTCCCCCTGAAGGGTCCCGGGTTCCATTCCCACCTTGGTCGTGGTTGTGTGGGGGCAACCAATCCATGTGCTTCTCTCACATGGATGTTTCTCTCTCCCTCTCTCCCTTCCTCCCTCCCTTCCACTATACCAAAAAACAAAAACAAAACAAAACTTTTTTAAGTAACAAGAAATAAAAGGATTCAGAAGAAAAGACAGCTTGTGCTTGGGAAGGCTTCTTGAAAGGGGCATATTTGTATCGTAATTTCCACAGGAAGAGATGAAGCTAGGAGCATAACTAGGCTCTGGAGAAAGGCAGTTTCCCAGTCCATTTATGTATTAGAATCAAAGGAGAGATTATAAAGAAGGTGCGTGAAACCCATTGGTGGTAGATTAGGGAGGTGGGGGAAAGCAACGCATTGAAATCATTAGAGCTGGAGAAAAAAACAAAATGGAATGATATATACTTCTTTTACAGGGGTGGGTATGGGATGATTAACATTTAACATTTACAGTAAATAAGCGGGCAACAAGACAACAATGAGGAGTTTCAATTCCTGCCAGAGGAGGTGTCGAAAAGGAAGATAACTCCAACCTTTCAAAGGTGTGTTCCCCTAGACGCAGGAGAACAATGCTCGCTCAGGGCGAAGGGGGACGTTGCTAAGGAAGCGGACAGGCCTGGAACCGGCCTCGACCTGCCCAGTTAGCCTGTGATCGGACCAGCCCAGGTAGTCACGCTTGGCCACCCAGCCTGCCAGGCCTGCCATGCGGCCCCCCGAGCTTGTCTTGCCCGCTATGGACCCTTTTTGTTCTCACTAAGCAATGACAAAAGTCGTATTTGGGAGGATCAAGCATAAAGTCCATCATTTTAATAAACAGCAAGAAACTTTTCTCCAGAACTAAGCCAAGCTATTTTCCTCAAAACGTGATTCTGAGCACGAAACAAGACAAAAAGACAGGCTCGCTACAAACTCTCTTTCTCCATCATGTAAGCAACAAATATTTTATTTCAAAAAACAAAACACAAAATCAAAAAACCCAGGAGTGATCTTTATTACCGCACACAGCCCCCACCGGAGGATGGTTTCAGAGGCCATGTTAGGGACCTCCCAACCTTCGGTTGGCGGCCTCGCCCGAGCACAGAGACGCGGGCCGCACTGAGACACGGGCGGAGCTGCCTCCAGCCGCCCGGAGCCGCCCGGGGCCGCCTTCGCCGCTCCTCAAAGGCTGGGGCCCCGCCCCTGCAGGTTACTGACGGCCGTATCCTGCAATGGCCGGCGCGCTCGGGCCTGTGGGCGGGACACGGCGGGCCGCGCGGAGGGATATTGCGCCTCTAGTCCCGGGCTGCTGCGCGACGCCATCTTGTCGAGCGCCGTCCCGGGGCCGCCATGTCGGTGAGGAGCAGTCACCGCCACGGCCACTGTCCAAACCCCCGCGTCGCGGCGCGCCCGCCCGCCCGCTCCCGAGCCTCGGCCGCCGGCGGCGAGTAGAGACTAGCGCGGCGGCGCCGGCCGTTGCCGCGCCCCGTGTTTGCAGAGAGCCCATCTCTCTGGCGTGGTTGTTAACAGACTGGAAAGTCTGTGTCTGTGTCGCTCACTAGTAACCGTGAGTTTTTACCGCCTCGTTACGGCGGGCGGCCGGGGTCCCGTGCCCCGCAGACCGGCCCGCAGCCCCGCCCCGCTCCTGACCAAACATGACAGACTGTGAACACGCAGGGCGCGGCAGGTCGGAACCTTGTCTGTCTGTGTGTCGGAGGAGAGGGCTGGGCGGGGGCGGGCGGGCCCTGCATGACCGAGGCGTCTCCAGGCCGCCGAGCTGGACGGCGCCCTGGGAGGCCGGGCTGGCGGCCGCGGGGAGGCTGGCCCCCTCCCGTCCTGTCCCGTGTCCCTGCCCGCGTGCGGGTCCTTCCGGCCTCCCGCCCCGCCCGCCGCACGTGCGACCCCCGCCCCGGGGCCGGGGCCAGGGCCAGACAGGACCAGCCACGAATTGGTAATAACTGGTGTTGTCTTTGCCTCGTACCCTAGCACACTCCAAAAAATAAACACGTTTGGGTGTTTTTGGTTTTTGGTTTTTGTTTTGTTTTGTTTTGTTTTGGGGGGGGGGGGAATATTGAAGCAACCCGAAAGGCCATGTATTTGAAACGGCAAGTTTCACGTTTAAAATGTTAACACAAATACTTGGGTTTTGTCAGCCTAACCCCACGGATTATCCCATCTAGCCCAGTTTTCTAAATACTGTATGTAATTTGAACAACTGAGATTCTGATTTTTTTAAATTTTTGCTATGCCTTTAGAGGCATATTCTTGGTTCCAGGTAATGGTTTGGGGTATTTACAGATTTTAAATAACGTAAACAGCATACTGAAGTTTTGATTAGGTTTATAACTTACCGTCTGATGTGGTGAAATGACGTTTGGGTCAACAAGGGACCAAATATGCCAGGGAGTCCTAGAGCATTACACAGGAATGGAGTTGACGTTCCTGTCGCCCGGTGCCGCGTAGCTGCTCTGACATCGCGGCACAAGGCACCCCTCACGTGTGGGTGGTGATGCTGCTGTACACAGCCCGCCGCCAGCGCTGCCAGCCCTTGAAAGTATAGCACATATAATTGCAGCAGTCGGCTGCACCGTGTTCGCACAAGGACGAAATCGCCTAACCACGAATCTCTCAGAATGCATTCCCTTTGTTAAGCACATGGCTGTAAATTGATAACTCAGTGGTTGAGAAAAAGGGAGAGCTTTCCTTTAAAATTACGAGAATCCATTGAACGTGATTGCAGAACTCATTGTATCTGGTTCTTATGTAGAATAGTTAAACACCAGAATCTGGCAATTCCTCCTTTGGAATAGAAGTAGTAAAAAGTACACATTGTATTCTAGATTATATACAAATTGTTGAAGTTCTACCTGTGGAGTAATGTGGTCTGCCTTTGGTAAAGCATTCCAAACACTTAAAAAAAAAAAAGATTAAAAAAAAACAAACAGAAGCAGAAATCACAAACACAGAAATTGAAATATCTGGCAATCTTGAGAGGGATAGAAATGATACTTTGACAGCTTTGGTACCATAATAATAAAAGATTGCCAGAAAGCATTAAACATTAATTTTTAGAAAGTAAAAAATGCTTTAAAATGATGAGAATCTAAGCTTGCACTTGACATATTTTTTATAATTTTTTTTTTTTTACATTGTTATTGAAGTGAGAAAATTCTAGAAATGGGTTAACTAATATCTCGAGAAGTTTCCCACTCTGAATTCCTGGACAAACCAATGATGAGGTTTTGTGCCTGTGGAACCTAAACTCATTTGTGTGTGTGTGTAAGAAGAAAATCGGTTCTCTGTTAGTTCACAGAGAGAGCAAGCACTTCATATGTAAAATCATGAATTCTATGTAGTGAAGAAACCATGTCACCAAATTCAGATGTTAAAATAATTTTGCTAGTAAGGAACCGTGATGCCAGACAAAATAATTTGAAATTTTAAAACAAAATCAGAAGTTAAAAAGAAAAATAGAATTCTTTGTGAGATATAGTAACAGTTTAGTAGGAACTAAAGATTAAGTAGTAGTGTATTGTTTTATATTAGGACTAAGAAAATATAGTAATTTCTGAAACAAAAAGATTAACTATCTTGATTTATTCACTTGTTAAGTAGTAGTAGCATTCTGAGGCAAAAGAGATGGTTTATCTTTTTCAATTTTTTTTTCTTTGTCGACCTACATGAAAAAACGACGTAAAAAAAAACAAAGTGAACTAGATAGGAGTCAGGAGAAATGGTTCTAACTCCAGATTTGGTACCATTTAGCTTTGTGAACTCAAGGAAGCCTAGTTTCTTAATTGATGAGAGGGTTCTGCAAGAATTTTTTAAGTTCTGCAAGATCTGGTTCTCAGCCATCTCTGGGGAACTTTTAAAAAGGTGTTGATGTCATTACCTTGTCTAAATTTCAGCCTGGGTTTAAGGTTTTTAAAAGCTCGAGTTATTCTAATACCTGCTAATTTGAGACCTACTATACTATATTGTTTTCCAAATTTAGCTAATCATCCAATCGCTTTGAGGAATAAAAATTTTTGTCTTGCTCAAAGAAACTGAATCAGAATCTCTAGGAGAGAATTGTTATCTATATTTTTAATAGGCTCCCTGGGGTTATTCTTAAGAAATTTGGAGGAAAATGGACTAATCTGTAGAATCCCCAAATATTCTTTGCTTCTGAATTACAGTTATTTTATACTGTAATAAAGGTTTCTGTGAATTAGGTGGTGAAGGTACATAAATTCTGGTGTTTGGAGCTAAGCATTGTCTCAAGGATATTCTTTTTCTGACATTCCTGAAAATTAAGGTATATTGTGAGCTCAAGAAAAAACTTAAATCTATGATTTTTATTTATAACTACTTTGATTCTGCAAGTTAAAATATTACTGTTATAGTTTATATGCAAATAAGATTTTAAATGGAAAGTCACATAATGAATATTTTTTCCTCTTTAAAAGATGTTTTCTTGCACATGTTTTATATGGTGAATATTT